CTTTGTAATAGACAACTGTCTTTTGCCCTTGGACAATTTGAAGTATTGAAGCACATATTGGGGTGTTTTTATTCTCCGCATGGTATCATCAGATTGTGAAAATGATGTAAAAGAGGAACTATAAGTTGAAAAGAAAATGCCTCTGGACCATTGAGTTATGGTGCAGAAACAAAAGACAATGCTTTAAATGGCATGGAGGAGGAAGAGACCTGTGAACCTGAAGATTCTCTGGAGGGTGAGAAAATCACTTGGGAAAAGTCTGCTTGCTTCAACTTCAGGTTCGCTAATTAGCTTTACAGAAAAGCAGCTGTGTTACATTGCCCAAGGGGTCAACAGCTGCACATTTTTCTGTCCACCTTTATGTGAGTCAAATTATTTAAAAGCAAATAAATATTAGTGTTTCTTTTTCAGTAAGCAAAAGTTGGATACATTGGTCTAGTCCTTTCCATCTCAGCCTTATATCTCAGATAAGTTTTTCACATCCACATTTATAGCTAACAACTATAAACCACAGCCAAAGATATTTATGATTATGAACTCTCAAATCCTTTCTAAATGTGAAACTATGCCCTGTATAATCTTCTAAAGAGGCAAGAAATTATAGAGTATGCTACAGAAATATTTTCTATTGAAATAATTAAAATGTTAAAATTGTTTTCAGCTTTCAGTTTCAGTTCCTGGAAATATGTTTAATTAAGATTTCTATGTTAATTATTATTCAATAAGAGTTTACTGCTATTGACTATTTCTATTGTAAACTGTTAAATAATAGTTTATAATTTATGTAGGCTTTTATATGTTTGATGTACTGAGCCCTGGGAGTGGGGCATTATTATCCTTATGATTTGAGAATATAGTACCAAGAAAATGCTATACATCCTCAGAAGAGCTGATAACCATTCTCCTTAATGTAAATCACAAACACATAACCTCATTTTCCCTTCATGACCTGGCTTCTAGGAACATCAGATTCTAATGTGATGAATATTTTTGAGTAATGTATCAACCTTTATAATTAACACACTTTCTTTGTTTTGTTCTGATTTTCTATTGCTGTTTTGAGAACCTCAAGATGACTACTGTATATATGATTTTTCAAAATCTGTTTCAAATGTGTGAAAGAAGGTAGTATGAGAAAAATAAATTAATGAATAATTTGGCTCTCCTTACCTTAATTTTAGAGATAAGTGAAGCTACATGAATTTTATAAGCTGCGGCGCTGGGCCTTCAACCCAGGTCTCTTGACTGTCTTGTTATTTTTTTTCCCCCCAGAGCATTCCATCCCTTGAGAATAAAGTGAGCTAAGAATTAATGCCTTGCCTCAAGGGGGTGAAACTATCACATTTTCTGCCCAAGGTTGTGCAAATCCACACTGTTGTCTCCAGTATCTTCTTGGTGATCTTTAAAAGCCAAAGAAAAAGCAAAGAGACTGCTCTTGGCATTCTCTGTTTCACACATTAATCAGGAATTTGGCAAAAACTTGGCAGGGGGTGGGAGGTGGAGTGGGTGGGGCATGGGATGATGAGGGAGGGTGGTGCAAGAAGGGGGCTGGGGTACAGGGGTGAGGAAGGGAGGTGAGGGAACGGGGCTCTGGAACAGCCAGATGACTACTGTGCACATACCCACCCATCTAATCCCAAATAGGAGGAAAAACTGCTTCTTTCCAAACAGCTCATACATCTTTGCCTGTTGAGATATTGAAGCAGCTGCCACCCGGTTCTCCCTGCAGCTCAGCATGAATTTTTCTCTTTGTTGGAAAGATGATATAAAAAGTCAATGCATTATTTATAGTAGTTATTTTCATCATTACATATTCACAATAATTGAAAGGTGGGAGTAGAGTATAATAGAATAGAATGGGAAGTAAACGATCTGCAGTAACTTCAAACACATTCATCAGAAATGTTCAGCTGCTTAAAAATAACAAAAACAGAAGCCAAAAAAAACCAAACAAACAAACACTGGATCTTAAAATACTACATTAGCCATCCACATCTGCAAAGCTTTATTTCTGCTCTGATTTATTTGTCCAAAGCGATAGCATTAGTGTATTATAGAACCTGAAGGAAAATTCTCGAATTTCTCTGTGTTGCAAGGCGTATAATGAAGTTATTTACTCTTAGATTGAGCAAGCTTCTGATGTTTAGCCCACCATCCCAATGAGGCCAAGATAATGGGTTCTGCTTTGACACAGCTATAGTCCCTTTCACATCCAAGCACTGTATCATTGACCTCTGCCAACTGGCTATTGAGTATGTGTTCTCGGTTATAAGGAGAACTGATTTAGATAATGTAGATGAAGCAATCCAAATTTATCATCCTCATGAAACAGTACTATCTTCATCTACCAAGGATGCTATGCACTGGGCAGGTATTAAAAAGGTATTTTCTAAGACAAGGCACTAAACCTTGCACTCCCCATGGCAAAAAGGCATATTTGGGCTATTGACAAAAAAAAACATAACCTATCTTAAACACTAATACAATAAAATTGTATTGTTTTACATAATAAGAGTTCTAAAGGCTCTCTCTGAGTGTCTCAATGGCCAGTTAATTTAGTGGCTTAATGATATTATCATTATAGTTTTAGACTCTCTCCCACATTTGGCTCTTTTATGCTCCTGTTGACTTCACCTTGGTCCAGCTCCTACTTGGTCACACGGTGTTCACACAGTTCCAGGTGTTGTAGGCATGTACAACAAGATTAAAATGAAAAACAGATCCTTTTTTCATGAGTCTCTTATTAGTATTGAAACCTTTTTCTGAAGGCATCGTTAGATTTACTTTAATATTTCAATGGCCATAATTGTCTCAGTGCCTTTTGCTATATTATAGGCAAAGAGAATGAAATAACCATGGTTGGCTGAAGTCAAGAAAAGAATAGGTCACCTGAACAAAATTTTAATTTTGTCCAAATGGAGGAAGTGGGGGGAATAGATGTTTGGTTAACAATCAAAAATGCCTCTTTAGTATTACACTTGGTTCAGCCACATGTAAACATATACCATTTGCCTCATTCTTACTTGGTAAAAAGTACTCACATCTACATAAAGCACACACACAATTCTCCTTAACCAAAGACAACCTATATTCACTTCAATCAAGAGCCAATTCTATGTCTAAGATTTCTGGGCTTTAAAAAATATTTATTTATTTATTTTTAATATTTTTTGTAGTACTGGAGATTGATCCTATGGCTTTCACATTGAGCTACATTCTAAGCCCCTTTTAACATTTTTATTTTGAGACAAAGTCTCCCTAAGTTACTAAGTTGCCTAGGCTGGCCTTGAACTTCCAGTTCTCTAGCCTCAGCCTCCCAGAGTGCTAGGATTACAGGAGTGTGCCACCAACCCCAGCTCTCGGACTGCTAACCTTTACCTATTCCATCCTGGTCTGTGAACAATATGCTTCAAAACCAAATTTTCCTTAATAGCGTAACTAATATAAAATAGAATAAAGTTTTCCCTTAACCTCTACCGAAAATCAATTTTGATTCTGAAAAGAAGACAATTGGAAACAACCAACAACAGTTGGTGATATGTAGCACTTGCCCTCCATTGGATGAGGGCCGAAAGAACTTTGTACATATCTTGGCAAAAGAGAAGGGATGATGGTCACCAATTGTATAGCCCAATTCTGCCCTCAGGAATAGACTTTCTTTTCTTTGTTGTGGTAGAAATGGCTCACAGAATTTCAATATTTGTTATTTCTTCCTCTTGGGGACATAGCTTAGCCACCTTTTTCGGACTTTCTTGAATTTAGTGGTGGCCACATAGACTGACTTTCATCCCATAGGATAGTAGTAGAACTATCATGCATGACTGTCTGAACCATAAAACCACCAGCATATGTGCATACATGCTGTCATCGTTCCTCCTTTCAGCTCACTGAAGTGGAGCTACCTGATAAATTTAAGCGATATGTGTTACATAGGGTAGAACCTCTTTCAGCTTGGATCCCTGAATTACCATGTGGATGAAGGCTATACTACCTAACTTTAACCTGGCTTAGTCCTGTTACGTGAATAAGAAATAAATTCTTATTATATTTGAGATATTTAAAGGCTGGGTCTATTTATTATGGTAGTTACCCTACCCAGATCAGTATAATCTTCCTTTGTGGTAACACTGGAGATGAATATTGAGGAAAATGTGTTTCCTGGGTCTACACAGCTTTAGTAGTCTATAACCTGTTGGTGAAAGTTTAGGAGATAGAGAATTGCCTTAGTAACTGAGCACTCACAGGCCATTGTTTTTTAACCTTGGGCTTTCTTTGGTAATACAATTCCTGTAAGAACTCAGTAGGTTTCAGGTGCTTCCAGTCAATTCCATGGGCTAATAACACAGCCAACAGTTTTTTCTAGAAATAGACTGTGAGTCTGTGAATTCCTGACTCTATGCCAGGGACTTCTACATGAGGCTGGTGTTCCTAGACCTCAGATTGATGACCCTTGCCCTGAGGTGATTTAAAACAATAACCTTGGGTAGGAAGGCAATACTCATAATCCAATCTTTGTCATCTGGAGTTTTCTCTTTGTCAAGCGGAAACAACTTTATAAAAATTATTTAAGACAGGCCTGGACGATTAAACTTGTCTTTTGACTCAGATTTATCTGCTGCTGCTAAATCTCCTGTTTTTCTCTTCAAGATGGTCCATCATCAGTGGCAAATTGTCCCTTTCCCGTGGAACCTCACTGAAAGGCATCTACTGATGCTTCTCCCCCTTCCCCTAAGATCAATGTCTCCCAAGGCTCCAGGTTTGATTTAACCGATTGCTTCACTACTTCATAAAAGGAGGTAAAACTCTCAGGCCATCCACCGAACTTCTCCCATTTACCCATTTTCTCATTTAGTCTCTCTTGTTTTCAGTATCCCATTTTTATTTCAACACCTGCCATCATAGAGTTTTTAGTTTCTAGAATAAGAAGTCAAATCTACCTAAGAACAAATTGAGTTTACTAAAAGGAAATTAGGAATCATATGGGAATGAAAAATCAGGATCAGAGATTGCGTTTTCAGGGAAAATGGCACAAATCACATGCAGAACTCCATGCTTGGGTGAGCACACAGCTTCCATTGTCACCAGGTACAACCCCCCTGCAGCTCACACTGCTGACACCTTCAGAATGGAGCACTGAGTGTTGTCATTGCCACATGCTGCTCTGGGATATTAATTCTGCCTCCTTTGCTGTGCCACAATAAGAATTTCTTTGTCATTTCACATTTCAGATCCCAATCTCATTGGACTACTTTAGGTCTCATGGATACTCCTGACCTGCAAGAGAAACTGGAAAAAATAAGGTTCTAGCATTCATTTCTAATTTTAACTCATAAAATAGGAACTCCCTCAATTATAAAAGTAACTCAGAGAGGGTCGGGGATTTAGCTCAGTAGTACCATGCCCGCCTTACAAGTGCAAGGTTCTGAGTTTGATCCCTGGTACAAAAAAAAAAAAAAGTGACTCAGAGAAAGGGCAGCCAGAGAAGATGAGTATTTCCTATTGTTCTCTTCAGCAATTTGAAAATTGTACTATCACTACTGCTATTTTCTAACAGAAAGTTAGAGCCTACAATTCATATTAGTCCATTCAACAAATACTTCCCATGTTCCTTACGCATGACATTCAGTGATTAGTTGATTCTCTGATCTTTTCATGTCTTTGAGAGTAAGAATATCCTTTTTCTAGATCTTACCTCTGATAGATCCCTGTCATTGAGAGATTTTTGGTAGGAAGTGGTTATCTGGAGACTATGTAATTTTAATTCCAGGCCACCTGGATTAGAATTTAGTTAGAGACATTATAACAATTTCTTAGCAATGTTTACACATGATCCCAGAGCAAAGGCCACAAGAGGCTAACACTATCTGTCCTAGGGCAAACTCACCCCTCAGCCTGAGCTAGGCCTTCAAGCTCATCCTCAATGTTTCTTTCAAATCCTGATGCCAACTAATTCTGTGATACTTCTCAATCCCAAGGAACACCCCCACCCGCCAGCGATCTGGCAATCTATTCTCTCTGTATTGTTACACCAATGATTTTCTGTATTTCCATTACTCTGACTAGCTTCTTACTGTTCATTCCCTTGCAATAGTTTAGATTTTTAGAAATATCACTTCATATTGAAGAAAAATTCCATTACCCTGATCATCTTCCTAGATAACTCACTATACCTTCTTGAAATTAATTTGAACTTTGTTTTCTTCAAAGCATATGATTTCCTTTAACCATTTCAATGAAAACTAATTATTTCTCTCTTACAGTTTAGATCTAGAATGTCTGCCAAGAGGCTCATGTGTTCAGAGGCTGGGATTTTGGAGAGTGATTTGATCATAGGGTGTTAAACTCATGAGTGGGCTCATCCACTGAAGAGTTCGGAGCTGACTATGTTGTTAAGAACTGGGGTCTGGTCAAAAGGGGTGAGTCACTGGGATCATGACCTGGAAGGGTTTGCCTCCCCCCAGTTCCTCCCTTCCCTCTTTTCTTCCTGGCCACCATGACCTGAACAGGTTTCCTCTGCCAGACCCTTGGACCATGCCCTCCAGCCTTTGAGCCAGCTGGCTGTGGGGTGAATTTTCTAAACACTATGAGCCAAAATAAACCTCTTCTCTTTTAAATTGTTGGTGTCAGATATTGTGTCCAGTGACGGTAAAGAGACAAAGACATCCTCTTTACCATTAGGCTTTGGTATATGTATATGAGGGAGATGGAGGGGAAGGGAATGCTCAGTACTGCTTCCAAATCATTGCCCCTCTGTGATTGTACAAATACTCTTTGTGTTATGATGGTTAGTTCCCTATTGATAATCATCTATAAATACGTGGAATTTTTCATTTGGCTTACATTATTGACTTACATTACATTTCTCTTTACCTCAACTCTAACCATTACTTTGGAAAATTTGTCTGTCCATGGGGACAAAAGCCCAATCTTCTAACTTCAGGGTACCTTGTCATCCTCACCCTATTAACTCACAACTCTCACTTCATGTGTGTCCATGACTATTTAAGGGTGTTTATTCCCAGGGACTTCTTTGACACTACAACTTTTAACTCAGATTTACCATTCCTCATCATGATCTCCTGTTCTAGTATTTTCACATCTATTATACTGATTCGTTCATGCATCCAGACATTCAATTGGTTAGTCTCTTGATTTTCTCCCAATTTTGTTAGTCTCTTCCGGTTCTCATTTTCTTTCTCATCGAATCTAAACTTAGGGACCTGATAACTTATTTTCTTATCAATAGTCTCAACTCTCTTGCCTCATTACATTTATATCTTTTCCTTCTCTCCTCTCCTCAGGAGAACCCATGCTTTATGTCAATCTGTGAACTTCGTTAGCAACTCCACTTAGATTCACACATTAACTGCTTAATGGATATTAATTTAATTAAGCTGGCTGTATTTGTTGCATTAGATAGCACCATTGTCTCTGACCATCGTAGAGCTGAACATTTTAGCTGCCTTTTGGTTAGTGGGAATCGACTACAATGAAGTTACCATTATAGCCAGTTCTAAAGCATCTTTCTTGATCTCTCTAACAGTATATTATTATCACTAGTTAATAACCAGAAACCTGACTTATCTGATGTAGATTATGAATAATTCTTTTCAAAATTTTAATAACTTCTATTCTAGGATGTAGAGGGAAGATACAAAACATGAGCTTTGATTCTCTACATCATCAGAATCATCTAGAGCTCACACCATTGAAGCTGAGTCTTGGATTCTGAACAGAAGATCTTCTGGGAGGGAAGAAGAACAAGACACTTTAGGCAAAATTATATGCAAACTCAGAGGCTATGAACATGTATGGTATGTTTGGGGAAAGGCCAAGGAAGGCAAGTCACATTTTATTACTGCCTATTTTTGTTTAACCTTATATAAGATGCTTTATAAGCATTACTTAGTGGTTCAGTGAGCTTGAAAATAGAGAACTTAGAAGAAGAAGGTAATGGAAAGCGGTGCAGGGAAGCTGGAGAGTTAGCTTATTACAAGATTCTCAAAGACCTTACAGGCCTTTACAAGCTTTTAGTTTTACTTATAGGTTATGGGAAGTCCCTTCAGGATTTTAATTGAGGAATGACATGTACATATATATATGTTTTAGAAATCAACACAGCTAGATTGGCAGTGGCATTAAGTAAGAATTCCAAGTTATTTGGTGGCACGAATCGTATGTATCTTTCAACACTATTTTTTCCTCAGAATCCACTGTTGTGCTTGACATTCAATAAAGAGCTGATAAGTGCACCTAAAATAATGAATGAGGCCAAACATAGGAGAATAATCTGGGGGTGGGAAAACTGATCTGAGGCCATGGTGGTGCAAGTGGAAAAGAGAGCTTGGAAAGATGGGGAGTGGAATGGGGTAGAGACTTGATTTATGATTAATGATTTAAATGGGACAGGAAAACTCAAGATAACTAAAAGATTCGAAGCTAGGTAATTCTTTGATGTCTTGTGATAATAATTTCTACTCCAGTGAATTTTACATCATCAAATATTAACGAGATAATATATGTAATATGTTATATGAATGAATGGATGAAATATCCTTGAGGTTTGTATTTGAAAGCAACAGAAAGTTCTAGTATCTAGACTTAACATATGCTAGGAATTTTATTTTCTCACATGAAAAAACTCAACTGATGTAGCATTTTACAATGTTACCAAGGAATCTGTTACTTCTGAAACTGGCTCTGCCATTTTTATTAATGCATGGTTTTGCCTGGTGACCACCATCTAGTCGCTATTTGGGTGCATATTTCATAAAGGATAAGGGGCAGAGGAGATACGTGGATTGATTCTGCCCCCTTGTTCGGTGTTTCCAAAAACAGTGAGTGGCTGCAACATCACATTGCTCCTGGCAAGAATAGTTTTTTTTTTATTAAATGCACTGAAAAGCAGAAAAAACAAACAAACAACAAATAAACAAGCAAACAGAGAAAAGAGGGTTCTCTTAAAAGGCAAAATGGTGAACAAATATGAATGGCAACATTTAGCAATGTCTGCCACAGCTCTAAGAAAAAAGAAGGTAAGAGTGTTTCCTGATAGCTTTGATAGTTTCTATCTTAGAAACACTAGAGTTTTTCCTTGTGCTCCTCTGTGATATTCACAAGAACAGAAGGTTCATACTGATACTAAATTTCAGGAAATTGGATGAGGAGTTATAGAAAAAAGATAATCTACCAATAAATATTTATTTCATTAGGGGGCTAGTTCATCTCCTTAGTTCTTGAAGACATACATTTCCTATTTCTGTATGTACTCCAATATATAGGTTGAGTTTGAGCCCAGGAAAAACTCTTTTGTTAGGGAGAGTTTCTTTTTTTGGTTCCGGGGATCGAACTCTGGTCCTTGTGCTTGCACAGTAGGTGGCAAAACCACTGAGCTAAATCCCTGGCCCAGGGAGAGTTCTTTGATTAGACCCTCTCCAGTCCCAGAGTCTTTTTGTAATGCTTTGTTTCACTAGTAACCCAATGAAAAAACTGGACTCCCATTTTTGCCTGGCCTCATCTCTATTTTTATTAACATTTTGTAAACTGTTATTCTTTAGTTATCATCTTTTTCTACTTTTTAAAACTATAACTTTTGCCTTATCCTCACAAATGAGATTATGGCTGTTATGCACAGTTTCTGGTCATTAAGTACTTACTGTGTCTGCTGTGTTTATGTGCATTAGATGTTTCTAGACCTGTCATTATTGTCTTCCTTTGCACATACCTCAAATCTAGGCTGTCAGCCTGGAACATGAAACAAATTATTCAGGTTCAAATGCTTTAGATTCTCAAACCCACAGTCTTTGAATATGAAGAACAGAGAGGCAAGAAAGTCTTATGTGTGTAACAAGAGCCCATTGGACAGCTGCAGAGGCTGAGCAACATGCCTGTTAACAGAGATGAATAAAACCATGTAGTGATTCACATGTACATTCAACATGATTGATTTGATCTGTCCTGCCGGAGAGATAGTTGCTTCTCTGACAATAACAGGAGGTTTAGGAAGGTGCTTTTACTCATTACTGCTATGTTGGAACACCTACGCTACTTACTTACCTGTACTCCTTTTACTATGAAGCAAAATGTAGAAATAAAATAATTCAAATGAATTTAGTCATATTATCTTGCCTGGAGATGTATTGAAAAATTAGGTTCTACATCAGGAGAAAGATTTTTACTTCAGTCAGTAATGTAACATCTCCTGATCTCTATTTGAAGACAGACTGATGGCATGGTTCTTCTGCCAGCAAGTTTGATTCTATGTAGTTTTTCAGTGGTTTATGACACTGAGGTTGTTTTGTCAAGATCAACAGTAGAAAGTAGCATTCTTCTTTGGATAAATACTAACAGTTTTATCTCTCTTGTTGCTGTGAGTGAATGGAGTTTTAACTCAAAATTACTTTAATATGTCCTAAGAAATAAGATTTCAGGTGTACAACCTGTTCTCTCCAAATGGTCCGTCGAATCAGCACCTGGTAATGTTGAATGATTGCATAATTAATTTGTATAAAAGGTGAAGGAAATTTCTTATTCATGTTGAAAAGCAATAGTTTATGGGGGAGCAACTCTACTTAAGTTCAGAACATGAAAGGGTATCTTAGTATATAGCCAATTTGGAAGGCAAGGATAAAGATATCTTCACATATCATTTGCATGCTTATTTGAGACTTTCTAGCTCATTGCTTGGCTGTTTAAAAGTGTTTTGATTAACTGGTTATGGAATTATGCAATGGATTACTGTTGTGGATTTCTCCATGGAAGGTAATCCCAACCTACATATCAAACCTGAACTAATAGTTGGTGTTTGGTGTTCTTGATTGGGCAAAATGCCTTAACAAATTGCAAAGACTATGTCAAAAGACAGATTGAGTTGGTTTGCTGAATTTAGAGAATTGCTTGGTCTGACAGTTAATCAATTGAAATACCTGCAATTGAAAGATTGTGTTACTAATTCTCTTCACAATTTATCTTTTTGTTCCTCATTTCTTATAAGTAAAGGCTCAGAAATTACTGCCTTTGCCAATGAAGTGACCCATTTAGCATGGAGCTTTTCTTAAACAGGGATGGCTAAATGGCAAAACACTTAAGGCAGCCAGATACTGCTTCTGAAAATAATTAGATTTTGCCTTGTATGTTTCTTTGCAGTCCTGGTATATATGACACACATATATAATGCATTGTGAACTCTAATGATTTCAAAGTAATTCACTGAAGTACCACATGTACCCCACTTCTGTGTATGATTTTTATGTATCAATTAAAATAAATATAACTAGTAAAAACCCCCCAAAATATTAAAGTAGTTAAAAAATCTAGATGGGTAGAGGCAAATATTTTGAGAAGAATGTATTAACTCAACACACTTAAAGATTTGACTTAATCAAGACTGGGCTTTGTGAGCTGGGCATGGTGCTATTTGCCTGTAGTCACAGTTACTCAGGAGGCTGAGGCAGGAGATTCATTAAATTCAAGGCCAGCATGGGAAACATACCAAGACTCTCATCTCAAAAAAACAAAACCAAAAAATATCACCAACCAAACAGAAGAAAAAAAAATAGCAGTAAAGAATGGTTATTGTCATGTGTAGGAATCAATGAATTTGGGTTAGAGTACCACCTAATTCATAGGAATGACAAATTACATATATAGAATTTCTTTATGGAAATATAGTTACTTATAAGGGAATGACCACTTTTTCTTTTAGAAATATAATTATTTTTCCCAGAAACTATTGATTTTTCTCTACTAAAACCTAGTCGAGGACAAAAGATTGACATTGACAACATAAATGTTGAAACATTAATTCTATTTCATTTTGTATGTTCCCTGCTCAAATTTTAAGAGATAATCTACTTATTTAATTATTTCATGTCTTTTGACTATATTAGAAAAATAGGGTCTGGAAAATATCTTAAAAATACATGTAGTGTGAAAAACCCACTGCAAATTGTAATAAAAATTGTAAAAAGGGAAACAGGGATGAAAATTGAGCACAACAGAAGAGAGAAAACACTTACATCTATGAAGGAGTTTTTTGGATCTTGATTTCATTTGGATATACACATGGTATAACTGTATCTTTGAGATAACTCAGAATTTTGAATATGAAATACATATTATGTAATATTCAGGAATCATGAATTCTGTTAGGTTTGATAATGGTAAGGTATATATATGTGGTATGATACATATCATGCTGCAAATATGTCTTATCAGTTAGAGGTGCAGAGAGTAGCAAAGATTTCACAGTTGAAATGGCGTAATGTCTGGAGTTTGCTGTAATTCAGAAAACAAACAAAATATGTTGGAGGACATAAATGAAAACCAACTGACGAATGTCATACTTGGTGGATGATGAGTATAAAGGATTTTTATACTATTCTTTCTGCTTCTATCTGTAGCTTAAATCTTTGCAAAATAAAAATTTAGAGTCTCAGTTCATTGTTTTAGAAAGGAACAAGTGAGCAAATTAGAAATAACTTCTTTTTCTTTTATTAGCTCTTACTTTGGGTATATTTAATAAGGAATCCTTTTTAGAGCTATGCACATAAAGCCAAAGTCAGTTTTGTCTAGGGGTATTTCATTTCTCTGTTCACAATTATCAGAGAATTAAAGGAGAAGCTGATTGCATCGTTGTAACACTAGTCTTAAATTAAGTGGAACAGTCTGCTAACACCACATACATGGTGATGTGCCCCAGGCTGCAGTAAATTTTAGGGGAATGGCCAGGATTTACTTCCCTTTCTGTTTCCTCTGCAAAGGTGGAGGTAGGAATGGCCAGGATCAGAAGGCCCTCTCCTGTCTTTCCCAGCTTCTGAGGAAAACCAGGAATTCCCTCTAACTGCTGTGTACAGTGTTCATGAGAAAGAACAGAAATCCCATTTTGCTGTGAGGAATTCAGAAAGAAACATTCTTGGCATTCTCATATTAGTGTAAGCAGCGCACTTCCTTATGGAAATCAAGGGATTTCTTCTACAAAGTACTAACAGACATGTGGAGGAGCAAGAGGAATGGGAACACACCACATAGATACATTTGGGAACTGCTTGGGTAAATACTTTAAGAATTCCTCCCCTACATACATAGTAGGTGCATAATGCCTTAATACCCATGACAGGCTTCCTTAAGGGCATGTCTGGGGGACATCAAACACTGTATTTCTCAAATTATTTGGACTACTAACCTTTTTAATCCCCTAGAAACCTCCTGGGAGAGTAATATTTCTTGGAACATACTTTGGGAAAGGCTATCCTTGACCAAACTATTTTCAACTCAAGCCTCAAGTAAACAATGGACACATACTTTTCTTTCTTTTGTGCTTACTTCAGTCAGATCAAACTTCCCTTCTAAGAGCATTGAAATATTTAATGTCTTCTATATTCCTATAGGAGATAAAAGGATGAATAAGACGTGGTCTCTGCCTTCAAGAGGGTCATATTCTACTATCACCACTCTTGCTCAATGTAGTTTTGTAAACATTAGCCACAGCAACTAGACAAGAGAAAGAAATAAAAGCAATAAAGATAGGAAATGAAGAAATCAAATTGTCATTATTTCCAGCTGACATGATACTCTATATAGAAGACCCCAAGAACTCCACCAAAAGTCTTCTAGACTTAATAACCAAATTCAGTAGAGTAGCTGGATACAAGGTCAACACACAAAAATCAATAGCTTTCCTCTACACCAACAGGAGACTGACTGAGAAATAGGGCA